CTCACCCCCGGCCCCGCCGCCGGCCTTACTCTGCTCCTCCGCAACTCGGCGGCCCTTCGGCCCGGCCGCCGTTTCCTGCCCCGCGGCCCACGCCGGTTTGAGCACCGCTCCCGCCGCCTTCGTTCTCGCCCCCCCCTCCCGCTCCGACTGTCTCTCTTCAGCCGCCGTACCCGCGGCCCGGCCCTCCGGCCCTCCCCCTTAATAACTCCCTCCACGCATCCGGCCCCGACACTGCCGGCGCGCCCGGATGTGAGGTGGCTGCCGCGGTGCCGGGCGGGAAAGGGAGGATCGCAGTGCTTCTCCGGATGCAGGACCCTGAGCTGGACGGCCTGCGGGGAAAGAGCGGCGGCGGGTCGGCGGTCCCGGCCGTACGCCCGGTGCACGCAGGCGGTCGCAGCGGGCAGCCCCGGAGAGCGAGCCCCGTTCTTCTGTGCGAGAGGGCGTGCTGGTTGACGGCTTTGGGCCCCGGAGCCCACCACTCAGTCTCCTCCGAAGGCGAGGTGTCCCCAACGTGGTCTCCGCTACGTTAGCACAGCTTGTGTCGGCGGAGACCCTGAGGGCTTCGGCAGTGGGAATCTGAGTTAGAGGAACTGGGGATCTGAGGAGACTTCCGGGCCGGAGCTCGTACCTCCGCCCTGTTTTCTTGCTGATTGTGGGATTTGCTCGAAACTGACACAACCGAAGCTGCGCTTTTCTCATCTTTAAAAATATGCTCTCTATAAAGTTATGAGGATATAAGAAGATGACGTGTTGTTACATTAGTAAGCAAATTAATCTCTTAATTTATTAAAATGAAATTAATAAATATTGATTTTGATAGAAATAAACCTGAATGCAAGCTTTTCGGCCTGTGTTGCCGAGACTCGGCATGTTTTAATCAGTGTAGCAACTGCCGTACTGGAAGGAGTGGTTTGACAGAGGTCTCAGGAATTTGGCGCATAGGCATGGAGGGAAATGTCATCTTATCTTGTGAAATGAGGGCCAAGCCTTCACTTTTGTGCGGGG